GTAGCTGGGATTATAGGCACGCGCCACCATGCCCAGCTAATGTTTTTTATTTTTAGTAGAGACGGGGTTTCACCATGTTGACCAGGATGGCCTCGATCTCTTGACCTCGTGATCTACCCGCCTCGGCCTCCCAAAGTGCTGGGATTACAGGCGTGAGCCACCGCACCCGGCCCAGAAGAGGGGTTTGACAGAGTTTTATGTATCTAAATAAGGCCTGTTTCTTCATTAATTATTAGCGATTGACTTCAATGAACAGTTTTGTTGTGATTCTCCATGTAAAAGAAATTAAAACCAAGCCCCATACCCTTATTGAATCTGTCCCATTAAGATGCTTTTTGGATTCTTATTTGTGCTATAGTTTGTTTGATTTACTTTGTCTGCAAACAGAAATGACATAGATGCTATTGCTCCAACAAAACTAAAAAAAGCTTTTCACTAAAAGTACCCAGATTGTATCAGTGGGAATAAATCCACTGGCGTCAGTGAATTTGCCCTAAAAAGACCTGTGTTTTTGCAGTAAATATTGTCATTGGAAGTATATGTTCTTTTAGACTAAATAAAGTTTTACCTGAGGACATTTTTCAGTGAGGCATGTTTATTTTAGGGGTTTAGTATTGTCTTCCCCTTACTTATTTTTACTTATCTGTATGAGCTGAAGCCCCAGCCAGCTGTCTCAGCCCTTAGCCTATTCTCAGTTGCTGACTCCTTTTCTTGAAGATGGAGTGTCCCCTTCCCTGGGCATCTCTATCCTCATCCTTGCCTCCCTTGGGGCCCCCGTCTTCTCTGCCTGTGATTCCTCAGTTTCTCTACACCTGAAATGTTGGGGGTATCCCAGGGGCCTGTCTTGGCTCCTTCCTTTACTTTCCCTCCCAGATATGAGCTGCTTGTGTCCGGCCTAGAGCTCCTGTCTTGGAACCTAGGCCCACTTACCAGCTAGATGCCTTTACTTTGAAGTCCTGGTCTTACTCAACACAGACAAAAGCAGAACTCACTGCGCTGTCTCCCCAAACCTTCCCTCTCTGCACTCCCTTGGCTAGCTAATGGCACAGTCATCCACACAGAAGCCTAAGCCAGAGCCCTGGGTGCCACACCTCATATTCAGTATCCGCAGCCCCCCATCCAGGTCACCGCCAAATCCTGTTGGTTCTGCCTTCCAGAATCTTTCATTCAGCCTTTCTCTCAGCCTTCAGTGCTTAGTTCTCAGCAGGCTCTCAACATGCCCCACCTCAGTTACCCTGAAGGATTCCAACTAAACCCCTTCCGCCTGGCAGGGACTCACATACATTCCTGTCACACTTCTGAATCCCTGGCTCTGGCATCTACAGATGCCTAGAAAAATGTATAGAATAAAATGAAGTAAATGACTCAAGGCCTCCATGCAAATAGGTGAGTCCAGGACAGAGTTATAAAGATGGAGAATTCAGGATTTTATCACGAATGACATTCTGCCTTCATTTTTCAGAAAACAATGCCTGAGGTCTGTTCTGGTAGAGGGTTTTAAAATAACCATTCAAAAAAATAACTATTTTTTGTTTAGTCTTAGTATTCTTGACTAAAAGTAATGTTTAAATGGCATTAGTTTTTTAAATTATTTGCAATTTGTTGTTGAAACTATATTTGGTAATGTGCTCTTTGCCTTCAAATGTTCTGAAATTGTTAGTATTCTGACCAGGATTCCAGTGATTTCTGTTTTTAGACCTCGGTTATCTCCTTTATGTCTGTATTACACTACCGCTTCTTGGGGCTTTTGAAGGCAGGGCACACCTTACCCTGAGCATAAGAACCTTTAGCTAAATTATGCCTGAATAATAGGATTTACCAGCGCAAGGAGAGAGAGACTTTGGTCTTTGACTAATGCATGTCTTTTTAAGATTTTGAGTAAAGGAGAAGAGAGATTGGTCCTTGGAAAAACTACCACAGCCTCGAACGTGACCAAGTTATGATGAATTCTTCGGTTTCTTCTGACCCTGGGAATCGAGGAAACAGTCAAGTGATCCTTTTTGTTTTGTCTTTTTTTTGTGCCATTTACTACTGAGTCACCAATAAATTCATGTGACTTCACATATTTTCTCTACCCTTTGATATATAATGAAAGACATCGCTGCTCACTTCGGATGCAGCAGAAGACACAGCATGTGGAAACGTGAGCTATTTTAACAAGCCCCAAAGGACTGAATAAGCTCTGAGTTTTCTGTTCAGCGTGGGTTAGTAATTGAGAAGAGTCATATGACTTGATAAAATAATCTTAGACACTTGCTTAGAAGAGTGGCAAGGTTCCTGTATAAATTGATTATTTTTGTTTGACAAATATCATTCTTTACAGAAATAACTTTTACCAGGAAAGTCCTCTTTTTTGGAGAGTAACAATAGCTTTTTGTTGTTGTTGTTTTGTTTTTTTGCTTTGAGACAGGGTCTTAGTCACCCAGGCTAGAGTGCAGTGGCAAAGTCTTGGCTTACTGCAGCCTCCAGCTCCCGGGCTCCAGTGGTCCTCCTGCCTCAGCCTCCTGAGTAACAGAGACAGCAGCACATACCACCTCGCCTGGCTAATATTTGCGTTTTTTCTTTGTAGAGATAAGTTCTCCCCAATTTTCCCAGCCTGGTCTCGAACCCTGAGCTCAAGCAGTCTGCCTCCCTGAGCCTCCCAAACTGCTGGGATTACAGGCATGCGCTACCATGCCCAGTCTAACTAGGGCTAAGTTTTTGCCAGGTTTCTGTTGTGAACCATTGGCAAAGATGTGAATGAAACCTAGACTTCGTACTCTCTTCTCTCTGTCCTTCGTCTTTTATAATTGACCAACAGTTTTTGGGCCTCTGCATGATGTATGATTATTTGGCAGTATAAAAGTGGGCTATAACACAAGCAAATACTTAGTGCAGACAGATGCTTGACCTGTTGAAGTTTTGGCTTTTTTTTTTTTTTTTTTTTTTTT